TCAGAGACTTGTGTCAGATGGAATTCTTGATTCTCTTGACTCCTCAAATTCTGATATTTGTCTTGAATGTGTTAAGGGAAAACAAACGAACAAATGAAGATTAGGTGCCGAGAGAGCTTCAGATCTATTGGAATTGATATATACAGACATTTGTGGACCATTCCCTACACCATGTAGAAATGGTCAAACATATTTTATCACTTTCATAGATGATTACTCTCGTTATGGTTACCTTTATCTGAAAAGTCCCAATCAATAGACGTGTTCAAATCTTACAAGGCCGAAGTTGAAAATCAATTAGACAAAAGAATAAAAACTGTTAGATCTGACCGTGGTGGTGAATAATATGGTAGATATGATGGTTCCGGTGAACAACGTCCAGGGCCATTTGCTAAATTCCTAGAGGAGTGTGGAATCGTTCCTCAGTACACCATGCCAGGAACTCCTAGCATGAATGGTGTTGATGAGAGACGAAACCGTACATTGAAGGACATGGTTAGGAGTATGATTTGTCATACTACTTTACCAGATTCACTTTGGAGAGAGGCACTGAAAATTGCAGCTTACATACTCAACAAAGTTCCCACTAAAGCTACAACTAAAACCCCTTATGAAATTTGGACTGGAAAGAAACCCAGTATAAATCATTTCCATGTTTGGGGTTGTCCACCTGAGGCAATGCCTTATAGGCCAAATGAAAAGAAACTGAACTCTAGAACAGTTAGTTATTATTTTGTTGGTTACTCTGAGAGGTCAAGGGGGTATAAGTTTTATGATCCCACTACCAGGATTATTTTTGAGATGGGTAATGCCCAGTTCTTTGAGGATATTGAGTTTGGGGAGTGGGGAGATAAGGTTAGAGACTTTGTCCTTGAGGAAGAGCATGTTACTCTTCCTTCAGTTGTCATTGAACATGATCAAGATATTTTTATTCCTAATGATGTTCAAGAAATAACTCCAGTTTAGGACAATCTCGAAAGCATCCCCAATCAAGTATCTGGAATTATTAACGAGGATCAAACTCAACAACCTCAAGAACCTGAGGTGCCATTAAGGAGATCCACTTGAGAGAGGAGAAGTGCAATTCCGGATGATTATATTTTATTTCTCCAAGAACATGAGGAAAATTGAGAGAGGAGAAGTACAATTCCTGATCTTGTATGTTGATGACATACTGCTTGCTTGTAACGATATAGACTTACTACACGAACCTAAGAGATTTCTTTCAAAGAATTTTGAAATGAAAGATCTTGGTGAGGCTTCTTTTGTATTAGGAATTCAAATACATCGAGATCGCTCCAAAGGCGTTCTTGGACTCTCACCAAAGAGCTATATCGATAAGGTTCTCAAAAGGTTTGGCATGCAAGACTGCAAATCAGGTGATACCCCAGTTTCTAAGGGAGACAAGTTTAGTCTCATGCAGTGCCCTAAGAATGGTTTTGAATCTAAAGAAATGAGGAACATTCCTTATGCTTCGGCTGTAGGAAGTTTGATGTATGCTCAGGTTTGTACAAGACCTGATTTAGCATACATCATTGGGATGTTAGGAAGATATTTGAGCAATCCGGAAATGGACCATTGGAAAGCAGCCAAATGGGTCATGCAGTATTTACAGAGGACAAAGGAATATATGCTCACATATTGGAGATCGGATCAGCTTGAGATCATTGGGTATACGGACTCTGACTTTGCTGGATGTCAAGATAGCTTGAGATCCACTTCAGGCTACATCTATATTCTAGCTGGAGGAGTGATCTCTTGGAAGAGTATCAAGCAGACTCTTACAACTACTTCCACCATGGAAGCATAGTTTATAGCATGTTATGAGGCATTCAATCAGGCATTATGGTTGCGATATTTTGTTAGTGGACTATGCATAGTGGATAGCATTAAAAGACCACTTAAGCTGTTCTGTGACAATAGATCACCAATCCTCTATGCTAAGAACAACAATAGTTTGAACAAGGCAAAACACATTGGGGTCAAATTTAAGGTTGTTAAGGAACGAGTACAAGAAGGAAAGTTATCTATAGAACACATTAGCACAAACTCCATGATTACGGATCCGCTCACTAAAGGATTGCCACCCAAAGTGTTTCATGAGCATGTTGCTCAAATGGGTGTCAAATTAGTTGAGGATTATGAGGTTTAGTGGGAGTTTGTAATGTTTCTATATTTGGTTAATTCAAGTTTTTAAGGTTATTTTCTGCAGAAATAAAGTTTAAAGTTTTATGTACTGTTACAGTCATATTATTGATCTCAAGGTGGACCAGTTGGAAATAGTCATTCTATTCCAGACCACACTTCATGTTATTTACACGCTACACACATATACTTGATCTATGTCGTTTATTATATAGAAATTGGCCAATATAGGAGTAAATATAAACATAATTGCACAAATAGGAGTAAAACTTAAAACTTCCTTCAATAGGAGTAAACATTAATTTTGTACCCTTAATATCCCTAACGTAGTTAATTCTAAATATGACTTATTTAATCATAACCTAGTTAATTTATGACTTATTCGATAATAATAATTTATTTATTTATTTATTTATTTTTCAAAAAATAAAAAATATATTTTTTAAAAAAAATAAAAAATAAAATTCACCGCCGCCTCTGCCGCCTCAGCACCACCACCTCCGGTCACCAGGGGAAAAAATGCCAAGTTCATTACGAATGCCATATTTGTGGCAGAAAACAATGAAAATGTTGGCATTCGCAAAGAGATATACGCCATGTTTTTGGCATTTTCAGAAAAAGGCAGTTTTTAGGAAAAATGGAATTTGTTTTCACCGCCCGAAGGTGGTGGTGCAGGGTGGTAGTACAGGCGGTGGGAAAGGCATCCATATTTTTTTTAAAATTTTTTATTTTATTAATATTTTATAAATTTTTTAATTATTTTTCTACGATTTTTTGATTTTTTTTTGAATTTATTATGAATTAAACATTTAATTAAAAGTTGTTGGGGCTTGGGAAGGGGTATACTTGTCCAAACAAGTTACTCCTATTCAAAACATGGTACTCCTATTTTTGCATTTTGCCTAAGTTTTGCTTCTATTTGGGGAATTTTCTCTTTATTATATTAATGTATGTGATCATTGACGGGTCTAGTTATTCAAATATAGCAAAGACTTCTTTGATCTTATGTTGATATAATTAATGAACCGGATTGATTAAAGATGACTACAGTTTGATAGCAAAATTTTGGAGCTCCTAAAGTAAACATACAATGCTAAGGATTGTGTATACATGTATATGTCGTCCAAGTGGGAGATTGTTAGATTATTGGATTCATACTACATGTATTATTCACAGTATATTATTTATTGGGATTAGTTGTATGTTATATGTTATCTTATATTTAGGCCCAAAAATTAGTGGTCTTATGAATATTAATATAAGTGAGCTAATATGTTATCTAATAAGGTATAAGGCCCAAATGTGTAGAGACCCATGAGCTTAACCTAATTCATGACGGGCTGATTAGGGTTAAGCATTCTCTATAAATACAGGAGTTATGGTCCCTAGTTGAACACGTCATTCCGTCTTTCTGCATCCCATCACTAGAGAGATAATCCCGAGGGTGTGTATCAACTAGAAAGACAAAACCCTAGCCTCCGTCTCCTGGATCTCTAGAGATCATCTTCAATGGAGTCAGGTACGCTTCCGCTCAGTTATTTTTCTAGATAATTTCAATATGAAGATTAAAGTATTCGTGGATTTATTCCAACACACTCGCCCCTTCTCCTCCCGCACAAACACAGCGGCTCCGGCTCTGGCCTAGTTACCTCTCCTCGGCTCCTCCTCTATCTTTCTTTCCACTCTTTTTTTTTTCTCTTTTTCTGACGCAGTTTTGCTGCTTGAGTTTGTGATTTTGGGAGATAAAGGGAGTCTAATTCATTGCTCAGGAGTTCTTGCTGCTATTGATCTCAAATGAGTTTTATATTAAACTCAAATTAGTATACACCTAAAAGAAATGAACTCACACAAATTAATATTGAGCACATTGGAAATGAGTTTTATGTCAAACTCAAATGAGTATAACACCCAAGATGAATGAGCTTACACAAATGAGCATTTGAATTATTTGATACTCATTTTGTAAGTTATGTATGCTCATTTGGTATTGCTTTATGCTCATTTTAAAATGTTTCACATTTCAAACGTATAATACTACATCAAATTCACATATTGAAATTAATTGAAATTGATTATAAATATAATTTAAGATTTTTTTATAAACGAAAAAATAATAAAAAGAAATTGAATTAGAAGATATGAAGCATATATCACCGGTACTCATTTTTAAACTCCTAATACTCAAAAGAACAGACTCGATGCTCATCAGAAATACATATATACACATTTAACAGAAATCATGATTTTCACCAAATTTACAAATTTGTCATCGACTGTACGGTGTCAGTCGTACAACCGGTTGTATGATATACGCTTCCGCCTAACTTGTGTACACATCTTCTATTATACAAAAGCAGGAGGAAAATGTGAACATTGTTCACACTCAAAAACATCATGCTAACGGGTCGGGTCGAGTTTGCAGTGGGCCAGGTCGGGTTTCTGTGTTTTCCAGGTTTTGAGGCCCAAAATAGTACTGCATTTTATGTAATACCCAATATCAAGAAGCAAGGTATGAGGCTCAATAAAAAGTACAATTCATTTAACGCAAAATTAATGATGAATGCATGCTGCTGCAGTGGCATTTAATGCACACCTATCATCCGGATATCACACATTTATTGTCCACTGTATAATCATAGTTACTACCTTTGAGCTGTTCTAAATAACGTTGGTTGCATATAACAAGACAAATCTACTTTATTCAGATTCTCAAGTACAAATTTATTGGCCACTAGGAGATGTCTATTCAAATTAAAAGAAATTGCATGTCATTGCTCATTGGGTAATTTATCATACATATTGAGAGTAGTTTAAATTTGAAGTGTATATATACGGCCAACATAATCCCTTAGGCATTCGGAACAACACACATGTTAGGAGGGGAGAAACTATAAACTATTTTCAATGATTAAGAGGTATAATATATGCCTAAAACTCTTCGAAAATGATGCAAATAGAACTTGAAGTTGTTTTAATAGGGTTCATCTATACTTAACAATAATCAAAGTTGGCAGGAGGCATTACACACTAGAAGTTGTTTCCAATGATGAAGAGGTATATTATATTAACTATTTTAGAAAATTATTCTAGTGTGTCTAAAACAAATGAGTACAAATTATATGAACAAATTTCTTTTTCCCGAACAATATCAATACAGCGCAGCACTCTTCTAAAAAAGCCATCAACTTTTTGACTCAACTCTGACTGCAGTTCCGTTCCCTCCTTTTCAGTCGGTCGATCGTCAGCAATGGCGGCATCGGTGCCTCCGCCGTCCGTTGAAGAGAAAAGAATCGAGGTATCATCATTTCCGATACTACTTTCCGAGCAAATTAAGGATTCCGTCAAGGAAGCAGACTCATTCAAATTGGAGTGTTTCGAGATCGGTAAACAAGTCGACCGTCTCTCTCAGATGCTCCGCGCCGTCGCCCGTCTCTGTGCATCCACATCTGGCTCTGTGTATGAGAGGCCGATCAGAAGGATTGTCATGGAGGTGTCGAAAAATCTCGAGCGGGCACTAACCCTAGTCCGGAAGTGCAAGCGGCGAAACGTCCTACGCCGCGTTGTCACTATCGTGTCAGCCGCTGATTTCCGGAAAGCTCTCAACCACCTCGAGTCTTCTGTTGCTGACATGAAGTGGCTGCTTAATGTCTTCGACGTTGAAGGCGGAGCCGGAGGTATTGTTTTATCCCTTCCCCCTATTGCCAGTAACGACCCGATTGTCTCTTGGGTTTGGTCTTACATTTCATCTTTGCATTTGGGTCAATTGAATGATAAAATCGAAGCCGCAAATGAATTAGCTTCTTTAGCTAAAGATAACGACAGAAACAAAAAGATTATTGTCGAAGAAGGTGGGATTTCACCTTTGTTAAAGCTCTTAAAGGACAGTTCTTCTCCGGAAGCTCAAGTGGCAGCATCCACTGCATTGTTTAATATAGCAAACTATGAAGAAAGGGTTCGAGCTATCATTGATCAGCTGGGGATACCAATTATTGTTCAAGTGCTGGGAGATTCCCCTATGAGGGTTCAAATATGGGTGGCAAATTTAGTGGCAAGGATGGCAGAGTATTCCCCACTAGCTCAGGAAGATTTTGCAAGGGAGAATGTGATCAGACCTCTTGTCACTTTGCTGTCACATGGCATCCTTATGGATGATCTGAAATCGAAAGTTGGGAAACAAAGCATTCACTCCATTGTACAAATTAACAAGGAAATGGAGAGAAAAGCATCATTAGGGTCCTATGGTTACAAGCAGCGAACTCTGGGATCACCACTGTCACGACACTTTTCTGATGGAAGCAGCCGTGGTGGTGGGAATAACAGGAAGGAAAGAGAGAATGAGAAGGCTGAAGTGAAACTGCAGTTAAAGGTTAGCTGTGCAGAGGCATTGTGGATGCTCGCCAAGGGGAGTGTTTCAAACAGTAAAAGGATAACTGAAACTAGAGGTTTGCTCTGTTTAGCTAAGCTTGTTGAGACAGAACAAGGAGAATTGCAATTAAACTGCTTGATGACAATAATGGAAATAACCGCGTCAGCGGAATCTAATGCTGACCTTAGAAGGTCTGCTTTCAGGACAAATTCTCCCGCTGCAAAGGCCGTTGTTGATCAACTACTACATGTGATTAAAGAATCAAACAGTCCCAAAATGCAAGTTTCAGCAATTAGGTCAGTCGGTTGTCTTGCTAGAACATTTCCTGCAAGAGAGGTTTGGGTGATTGGCCCTTTAGTTGAGCAACTAAGTAACAGAAATCTAGATGTGGCTGCAGAAGCTGCAAATTCACTTCGGAAGTTTACATGTCCTGAAAACTTTTTAAGTGTGGAGCATTCAAAGACGATAATTGAATTCAATGCTGTCCCCGCTCTTCTGAGACTGCTGAGAGGGAATGAACGGTCTCAGTTCCACGGATTTGTTCTTCTATGCTACCTCTCTGTGCATGCCAGCAATAATGATGCTTTGGATCAACCCCGAGTTCGGACTGCCCTTGAGGGGGTGGACCGGACATTGTTTATCCAGCATCCTGAGTTGAGAGGATTAATGTCAAGTGCGACATACCACCTCGATGTTTATCACTCTGGATTGCTTCTTCCTCAGCGTCAGTCTTTTTCTCCTTAGCATTTGTTTTGGAAAAAAAAAATGACTTTGTCAGATGCCTTTGTCCGTTTGTACTTAAAGTTTTTGTTGATACACTTGTTTACTCGTGTTTTAGGGGAGTGGTGCATTTTTGTGAGGGGCAGAAATAAGTTGTTCTTGCAGAGTTGCAGCATGTATCTTTTTCAGTTGTAATTAATAAATTTTTGGAGGACAGTTGTGAACGAATGAAAAGATTTTGGTTAGAGGCGGCTTGAGCATTTTGGAGGCCCAGACGAAAAATATTTACTATGTACAAATCACTTTTAAAATCAGATAAATTGAATAAAAATCACCTTATGAAAAAGCATATTCAAAGTCCACGATATAATGTTTGTAATATTCAAAAGGATAAATTTTAAAATGCAAACTTATTCAAAACACAAGGCAAACTTGTACTTGTAAAAGTATTAAGAGACTTTAAGAACGAGACTCAGAGAGAAGAGCTGAAGAGTCTTAGTTGATTCACTAACCAAGGACCCATGTCGACGACGGGCAGTGAGGCATATATATAGTAGTCGATTAGCGGTCTGTGTTGGACGTTGATGCGTGTTGAGATCGGCTTTTGATAGTTTTTTCCTAACTTTAAGGTGTCATAAGTCTCAATTTTAAGCTCAAGTCATATTTACCGGCCGTTTGTTCGAGTTTTGGTATTTTTGGAGTCAAAATCAGGGAATTTGAGCCTGACACCGGTGTTTGAGAAGCAATAGGGACGAGTTGAGAAGCATTTTAGAGTTGATTAGGAGCATTGGAGATCAGTGAGGTGTTAAAGACAAAGTTTTGAAGACAAAAGAGCTCTAGAATTGGCTACGGGATCAAAAGAAGACGAATAGAGCTTGAAAACAACGGTCAAGATGACGTTCTGTATATCGTTCAAGCATATCTTTTCTTAGGAACATCTAAAAAATATGATTCAAGTTTCCTATGAAAGCCAACTTCAAGGGCTACAAATCATATGAATACACCATTGTGAGAATCTGAGAGAAGCAAGGTGAAAACAGACGATGAAGTCAGACAATCTCTGTTGAGATTTCAGAATGCGACCTTCCACCATTTTATTCATATATTTTTATTGGATGATTCAAATCCAGTTTTGCAAGTTGTATTGGATAGAAGACTTCATTAGCTACAACTTTGATGAAGAACGGATAGTCAAAAGTGAACTATAAAGCTGATTTCTGCTTGCAGTTGCCGCTTGGTGTATTGGCGATCTGCGAATAACACATAATACTAATACCAGAGTAGAATTTTTTGAAGGCCCCCTTGGTAGTTGAGGCCCCAAGGCAGTTGCCTGGCCCAACTGCCTTCAAAGCAGCCCCTGATTTTGGTTCGGGTGAGACTTGAATAAATACTCCGCACAAAAGAGTAGGATCTTTTGCTCAAATTATACCATGGAAACTGCGATACCGATCTTCTCTTCTTCTTTTTGCTTCTTTATTTTTTCTTTAACTCTTTTCTCCTCCGTCAAAATACTAAAAATCTAACTGCGATTTTACTATTCATATTCATGCATTGTTTTTCTGTAGCATTTTATATATCCATATATTTTTTTGTGATATATACTCCGTATATATTTATATTTTCTCAAAATCTTTTGCGACTAAAGCTTGAATGTTGTTGTATATATATTTTTTATATTCAAATACGTTGTTCAGTAATATATTTTTAACTCTTTTATACTCCCTCCTCGTTGGTTCTCACTTTCTTTATTTGAGTGTCTCATTTAAAGGTTCTCATTCCATTTTAAAAAATAATTTACTTTCTTTGATTACAATTTTACTCAAATTTTTCTTTCCTACTCATTACATATCAAATCTCACAATCCCCCAACTTATCTCCCTTTAACTACTTCACTTTCTATGTTTACTTTTTCTAAATTTTCCTTTCCCTCACTTTTTTATCCAAATTACTTTGTTTCACCACTTGCCTAAAAAATTGTGTCATTTATCCATGGAGCCTTCAACAGGACGGAGAGAGTATGCTTTAGTGGTTTTTTAAGATATTGAGTTTATTTTATGTCGATTTAAATTTGATAATAGACGAGAGTACATTTTCATTTATGCAATTTACATTTTCATATGTGTCAAGTTACATTTTCACATGATTCATGGAGCTACATTTGATAATATATGAATTTACATCTTCTTATGCGTGATTTACATCTTAATATGAATGAATTAATCTTTTTATGCGCGAGTTACATTTTCATGCACGCGAGTTACATCTTTAAGGCACGACTTACATTTTCATATGTGTGAGTTATATTTTGACTTACCTCAGCAAATTACGTTTTGCATATACATAATTTACATTTTGACTTATTTGAAGTTACTTTCCAGTGCGAAGGCATGACTTACATTATCATATGTGTGAGTTATATTTTGACTTACCTCAGCAAATTACGTTTTGCATATACATAATTTACATTTTGACTTATTTGAAGTTACTTTCCGGTGCGCGGGTTACGTTTGTCGTAAACTAAGATTACATTTCACAGCAATGCGAGTTACAATTCAATATACAAGATTTATATCTCAAAAAAGCTGAAAAAAGAAATGGTTACCATTTACACGCGTTTTTTAATTAAAGGTTAAATTTAAATGATGTCATTTTATGTATGGAAATATTGTGTTCACCATGAATTGCTCTCACGATATAAGAATTGGTTGTTTTACTTCTCTGAGCCTGTAATTTGTAGTATAGAACGATAGACCTATGGAGCGTAATCTGCTTTGAAATTAATCCTTCTTAGCGTGGATTTTTGCATCTCAAAAATTTCAATTTCAGTCTCACTCGCAGTCAATCTGAATACTTTCGATTCAATTTTGATGGAGTCAAAACCCCCTTTCCAAAAAATTGAAATTTTTCAGTTTTCACTAAAGGCATCTAAGCCCTCAAACTTAATTTTGGAGCAAAAATCTTCCTATTCCATTAAAAGAGAGCATTTCCCCCTTCTCTAACAGTGACAAGACGTATATGTTTTTTTTTACTACTACCATACGTATATGTTAACAATCATGTCTTGAGAACTTTTTGTAAATACAATTACACTCCGGTATTGTCTCTAGCTAAATCACATCCAAGACTAAATATCTTAAATAATTAAACATGTGGCAAATTAACTAACTAAATCAAATGTGGAATTATATAGTTAAAGATGTTTTAAATTGAACTGATTTTTTTGACCTGGTGTAATAATTTGGTCTGATTAATTTTGTCTGGTTTTATCTGATCTGTTTTTGAAGCTTTTACTTAGACTTATTTCAGTCTTAGAAAAGATCAGATCTGACCAAACCTGACTAGACATAAATAGAGCAGACTTCGAAAATTATAAAATGCTCAGAAACCATAAATTTACCGAATAAGATAAGATCGGACCAATTCAGACCAGACCAAATCAGATTAGATAAAATCATAAAATTTCAATTGAAAAAATCCTTAGCCTGGTCTGCTATGAAATGTCATTATATATTATAATCCGTATATAATTTATTTGTATTCATTTATTACTAAAATTAAAAAAAATCTCCCAAATTTTCGTACAATATATCTTCTCGACTCATCATACGTTTTTCAATGCGTATATTATTAAGATTAAAAGTATGTGAAAACTATTTAATCTTCTATATCACACAATAATGTTTTCCCCTTCTACTTATAGAAGATATACAGTACAAATCGAGAAAATATACTGTAGTGTACAATATTTCAGAAGGAATTTTATGCGAAAACCGCAGTTTTAGTCACCATTTTGAAATGCCAGCCGCATATTTCTGAGATTGTAAATGTCACCGCTCAATTGTCCAAATTGCTATAAATGTGGTCCTTTAAGAGGTGAAATGTACTCCTCACCCACATTTACATTTCATCCCTCAAAGGACCATATTTACAACAATTTTGACAATTGAGGGGTGACATTTATAAACTGGGGAACGTGTGCCTCACATTTCAATATGGCGACTATTTTAGTGACTAAACGTGTGATTTTCCCTATTTTTAATAATAAATGAATACAAATAAATTTCATATGGATTATAATATGTAAATAATATATAATGACATTTCATAGTAGACCAAATTAATGATTTTTTGAAATTTTATGGACTGATCTAATCTGATTTAGGTTGGTCTGAACTTGTTTGATCTTGTCTTGTCTTATTCGATAGATAATTCGACATTTAGTTAGTTAATTTGCTACATGTTTAATTATTTAAGATATCTGCTCACAAAAATATATATAAACTTTAATATGATTTAGGCATTTAGCTAGAGACAATATTTATTTGCATTTAAGAACACATGACTATTAACTTCTCCTTAGGTCACCGTTAGAGTAGGGGTGAAATGCCCTCTTTAAAGGGAATATGGTGATTTTTGCTCCAAAATTAAGTTTGAGGGCCTAGATCCACAACTTTAGGGGGGATTTTGGCCCTTTATTATAATCCTCTCCCGTGGCAAGAAGAACGAGTGCCTGATCATTAGTTTCTTTGGCACTACTTTCGTTATGTTTTGAGGATTGTAGTAGATGTGCTGGCTTGGGCTCCACACTTGTTTGCATCCCATCTCACAATTTCAGCCCATGTGAGAGTCTTCTTACAATGCCTGTCTGACCGTTTCCTCTGATGACGAAAAGGGTGGAGATGGGTTGTTCGTGAAGAAGGCTCCGACTGACTGTGGAGTAAAGACGGTCCGTCGGTGGAAATACTGTTTGCACGATTCCAACTATACGAATTGAGGAGTCTTGGGGACGCCTCACATCTGGTTCTTCTGTTCCTGTTGAATTTAGAGTTGGAAAGATACCAGTGAATTGGTTCTTCGTTACCGGTAATGATTGGAATTGTTGAACAAATGAGTATCATCCCATATTTGATGTGCGCCGGAAAGCTAGAGAGAAAGAGAGAAATGAGAGATTCTGTCTCATATTTTGATGTGTATTCGTGAATACATTATTTACGTAAAAGTAAATACATTTGAATATCCCTACCTACTTCATCATGATAATATTCAAAAACACTTTCTACATCTATTAGTTATAATAGTTTCATGTACGGGTTGAACTTATTAGTTTTCGGTTCTGATGAATATATATTATCCTGGACTGAGGTACCGGGAATGATGTATTTCTTGTATTACGCCTAGCTCGCTATTCTTTAGACCAGCCCGTGGCACTCCTTAAGCCCATGTGGCCTGCAAATATGTAGCTAATTTCATGTTGTAACCCTAACGTGGATTCATTCATACCACACACTTTATCTCTCTAGTTTGTTCATTCTCTCTATCTTCTCTGTAGATTTATGGATAAATTTCCACCAGGTTTGGTTTTTATCAGTTCCGGTTCAATTTGAACCGGGTTAGAATTATTATTAAACAAAGACCATACTATTTTTCGATTTGGTTCGATTCGATTTAGTTTGATTTGGTTAAGTTTGAATTTGTTATTTTTTTTAATAATATATGAAGGTTTTTGATGGAGTATATGAACTAGGGACCACCGGCCCACAGACTCCTACTACTCTAACACAGGCCCAACAGGCCCAAGAAGCACAAGGGACCCTCAGCGCAACGGCCCAAGTGCCAAGAAGCCCACGGTGCACATACGGGTGCCTTCGGCCCCATGGCCGAGGGCTCCAAAAATCTCACAGGACAGCTGATCTTCTACATACGTACAAACCTACTGGGAGAAAACGACCAAAATCAGGAGCCTTCGGCTCATGCACGCCTTCGACACTTGGGTAGCCTTCGGATACACAGAGGCCCCGACCACAAGGGAGCCTTCGACTACAACACAAACATCGAAGATTCCCTTTGGAGACAACCAACAGTCGCATTTAATGTTATCAATTTCTTACCTGCAAATAAAAGAAGCTTGTCAAAGGAGATTTGGTTCTACAGTTTCTTACGTTATCAATATCAACTCGATCTATCTCTGAGCTCCCTAAGAGGCATCTCCCAAAATCACAAGATACCCATGTGACAACCTTCAACACTCACTGTGAATAAATAAATAAAAAAAGATAAACACCCTCAATTCCTCATGAAAATGTATATCATTATGTATTTAATAACATAACACCTTCTAAGATATAAAAGGAAAACAGTTTATATGGAATTGTGAGAGGTTATGGTTAGTACCTCTTTATCTTTGTCAGAAAGAGTGGGGAGAGATCAATAAGGACTTGAGAAACATATAGAGTGAATAACAATCCAGTCAAAGCTGCTGAGTTCTTTACCAGAGTGAATAACAATCCAGTCAAAGCTGTCGAGTTCTTTACCACACAAACAACATCTTCACCCTTCACTTGATCCACCTATGAAAGAAATTACACATAGTTGGGGAATGGCATTCTCAAGATACCCATGTGACAACCTTTAACGCTCATTGTGAATAAATAAATAAATAAATAAATAAATAAGATAAAGAGGCGGAAATAATGCTTATTGAGTAGTTCAAATTCTTTTATACTTCACAAGAACTGGGATAGAATTTCCAACATGAACAGTTTCATATTTGATTTTACAACAATATGCTTCATATATAAAATCAAATAGGCATATATATCAGGCAACAAATAGCTATAGGTCAACACCGGCTATATATAGATACCCTGTGGCTGGACATTTCATGTATGGTTCACAAACAAGTCCACTTAGCACATTATTGCCTGTGGAATATTAGATGCACATTAGATAGGTTACTGATTCTCATGAAAAGATTTTTGAAAATGGCATTTAGGTTGTCCCACGTTAGAGGACATAACTTTTTGTAGTATAATTTTCTGAATGAGGACATGTCATCAAGCTTTTGATATCAATCTCTTTCTTTCTTTTTTTTTAATCTTTTTTTTTTACTCCAGGGGACGTCTGGGGGAGGGGGTCTGAGGGGTCTAGAGTAATTAGGGTTGAAACTCACTCCATTGAGTTTCGAACCCGAGACCTCCCGTAAGGGAGAGTGAGTCGTCGATGAGATGGGCTGGACCACTTCCTCTATCAATCTCTTTGTTAAATTGATTTACACCATTTATAGTCTCAATGTTCATAAAACAAGTGCTTAACAGAAGAGCCTTAAACTAAGTAGTTTTGCAGAAGATATGTCATACTATGAAAAACCAATACTATGAAAACAATATTAAGTGTGTACATTTGCCATACTTTAAATTTTGTCTAGCTAAAAGACAATTAAAAAAGTGAAAAGTATCACAAAGTAAACACTAACAAAAAACTAATACACAAGTCAGTATCAAAATAGTCTTTATTGTTGCTTCATCCCTATTCCACCAGCTTTCATAATAGAGGATCAAGCTTCTAACCCAATTGGCTCCTTCACTCGCCAACATCATTTGTATGGTACTAAGCTCCTGCATTACACACCAGGATAAATAATCAATATGCAATCCAATCAACTTGATACATTTATAACTCAAAGAATAAACAAAAACATAATGCTCTGTTTTTCAATAGTTAACTCTTGTTGTAATTTATTACATGTAAACCTATACAAATGAATAGCACTGGACCACAACATCTAAATTAACCTGAATGCATACATGATAAATTGATAATATCATAGAGGTTTAACCACTGCACTTTTTGAAAAAGGCTGCAACAGAAATTGTGCAAAGAATGAATAAACTGCCTTTTATGCAAGTTTTACTGGCTCCAAAAAATCTTACCGAATCAAGCAAGGTACTTTAAAAGCTCAGAAGAAAAGTCAATGACCATTAAGCATGCTCATAAGATTACTAACATCAAACAAATACGTACTTTAATTTTGAGCTTCCTCTGTTCAAATTTAAGATCAAGTACAATACAAGAGTATGCATGAAAACTTACTAACATAACATAAATGAAACTCAATACACATCCAAGGAAAAATGAAAATAAAAGACAATGAAATTAAAACCTTGATTGCGTCTCACATGTGTTCCTTTAAAGGCAACCACAACTCCTAAAGAAGAAGCATATAATCATAAAAAAGCTGCTCTTAACTCAAACATATAAATAAGTATGCAATTTCCTTTCATATATGATGCAAAAAGTATAAACATCTTCATATTTAACTATGAAAATAAATAACATAATTCGATTACGTAATCCTGATCAATCAATGGGGGGATAATGTGAATATTATAGCCTCATAGAGATACACAGCATTTCATCACACCAGCTTATCAAACACATTATGAACAAAAGAATAATGTTCTCAAATAATATAGTGAAACAAAAGTTTCAAACAAATAACATTAGATATCAATCGTACTCTTTGAACGCGCTTTTCACTATGGGTCATCCAGAAACAATCTCTCTGTGTTTTGGGACAGGGGTAAGACTGCGTACATCCGACCCTCTTACCCCACCGTAGGTGGGAGCCTTTGTGACACTGAGGTAAATGATAATGATCGATCAAACATAAAATTTAAAAGAACAAAAAGTCACGGTTAAAACCTAAACCACAATAATGAAAAGGGGGGAAATTATTGTTTAATGAGTTAGGGTTAAGGGGATTGGATTGAAGGAAGATAAGGGAAATGAATACCATCGGCTGCAATTAACCAGGTCAGAAATGGATCCTCCATGTCGGACTAGCTCGCGGGTGGTCGGCTCTGTAACTTCCCGTTGCTGCGAAGACTCCCGGCAGCGTTGGCTTCCAGGTCTGCAGCGTGCCCGATTCAATCATGAGAAACCACATAGACAAATTAAATGGCTTGTGATTGTTAAATGGGGAGAAAGATTGCAATGAAGAAATGAAGAAGAAAGAAAGGAGAAAGTGTCTACGGGAGAAAGGAGAAATGGCACAGAGAAGAGAGAGGAGAATGAGAGAAATGAGGAGAGGAAAAGGGTAAAAAATTAATTGTGTACACTAACCATTTTTGTACTTAAAATTCCAATCCCAGAGGGATGGAAATGCGAATCGTAGTGAACTTCCGCTGTAGATTCCCGGCAAAACTGACCTCTGCATTTTTATGGCAAACTCTCAACATTTTTTCTCTTCTTTCAAAAGGTTTATCTTTTCTTCCCGTTCTTCTTCCCTAAACACTTATTTTCGTACACCAATAAATCTGCACTTACTCCAATCTCCCTCTTTTATCCGTTCATGCGAGGACCTCCGAACTCTCAAGCAAATTCAAGCATCTTTAATCGTTTCATACGGGCATAGCCTCAATGCTGCTGCTGTTTCAATGCTGGGAAGTTTATATGCAAAGTTTGAGAAAATTCAGCATACTCTTTTCCTTCTCTGTTCCTTACAAGGACCCTGTACACATCACTGGAATCAGGTTATAAAGACCTGTGTTGATTTGGGTATGGTTGAGTCTGCGTTTTTTGTTTACAATGGAATGAGAGAGAAGGGTATCTTGCACGATAGTTACACATTTCCGATAATAAACAGGGCTGTGGCATTGAGTTATGGTAAGGATTGGTATGGCAAGTCGATTCACGGGTTGTCTTTTAAAATGGGTTTTGATTTGGACATTTATTTCTGCAATACGTTGATTGAGTGTTATACCAAGACTAGGGGACTTGTTGATGCTTTTCAGGTGTTTGAAGAGATGCCTCAAAGAGATTTGGTTTCTTGGACTTCAATAATTTCTGGATTGCTCTCTGAAGGTGATTGTTGTGAAGCATTCAACTTGTTCAGAGAGATGAAAAAAGAGATTCTACCTAATTCAGTGACAATAATAGTTGTCTTGAAAGCGTGCCCAAGCCTTGTGGAATGTACACAGGTTCACTGTTACGTGATTAAATATGGATTCTTGATTGATGTATCGATTACAAACTCCATTATGAAGAGCTACTCCAAATTTTTTGGTGTCAACGAAGCAGAGGCTCTGTTTTGTGAATTAGAAAAAGTAGATGTCATTTCTTGGAACATTATGATTTCATTGTATTCCTTGAGAGGAGAGATTGAGAAAGTGACATGTTCTTTTAGTGAAATGAGGGCTGATGTAGAACCCAATGTTGAGACTTTAACGACATTGGTTTCTGGGCTTTCAAATGGTGGGTGTCTTTCCACAGGAAGCCAAATACATTGTCTTTCTCTAAAAAGTAGACTATTGGATGATATCTTGAAATGTTCTTTGTTAAGTTTTTATGCGAAGTGTAGTAACTTGGAGGGATCAACTAAGTTGTTTGACGAAATACCTCACAAAAACTGTGTGGTTTGGAGTGCAATGATGACCAGTTTCACAGGCAATGGTCATTTTACAGAGTCTATTAAGTTATTCCTTAAAATGTTGGGTTTGGGCAACAAGCCGGTCTCAGAA